TCCGGCTATAGAAGACCTATAAAAGGTCCATGGGTTATAGAAAATATGTAAAAAGTCTTCTGGCTATGCGAGACCTGTAAAAGTAGACCATTAAGTGGTCCTGTAAAAGACCCTCTGGTTATAGAAGACCGGCTAAAATTTTTCTGACAAAAGGAAGCCTGTAAAAGATCCTCTGGCTACAGAAGACCTTAAAATGGTCTACTGGCTATAGAAGATTTATAAAAGGTCCTCTGACATAGCGGACCTGAAAATAGTCATCTGACTCTTGGATACCTGTAAAAGCCTTCTGCCTATGAGAGACCTGTAAAGGTCCTCCGGCTATAGAAGGTCTGTAAAAGGCCCTCTCTGGCTACAGCAGGCCTGGGAAAGGTCATCTGGATATAGGAAATCTGTAAAAGGTCTGCTGACTAAAGAAGACCCGTAAAAGCTTCTTTGGCTATAGGAGACCTGTAAAAAGTCCTCTGGCTATAGAAGATTTTTAAAAGGTTCTTTGCCTATAGAAAATCCGTAAAAGGTTTTCCGACAAAAGGAGACTTGAATTCTGACTAAAGAAAATCTATAAAAGCTTATCTGGCTATAGAAGACCTGTTAAAGGTCCTCTGGCTATAGAAGACCTGTAAATGATCTTCTCACTAAAGAATACCTGAAAAAGGTCCTCTGGCTATAGGAGACCCATAAATGGCCTTCCAAATAAAGGAGATCTCTAAAAGGTCCTCTGGCTGTTGGCCACCTGTGAAAGGTCATCTGGCTATGGGGGACCTGTAAAAGTTCATCTGACTTCAGGAGACCCGGAAAAGGTCTATGGATATAGGAGACAAAGACCTAAAATGGTAAAGACTAGACAAAATGCATTCTGAGCAAATGGTTTGTGGCTGTACTACTTTGAATGAAGCATATGACAAAGGCATGTTAATATAAAAAACGCAATTATAGGAAAGAATGAAAAATAAAAGTTTGGATAATCCAAAATATTGTTTCAAAATTTTATTCCATATACCTTCCCAAATAATTACATACTGCCATAGCGGTTTAAATTGCTTAACATTGGTAACTATGTTGTTACGATATCATAACAACAGAGGCATTTTTCACAGGGTTGCCATATTTTACTCTGTCTTGTCCTATCTTTATACTTTTATGTCTTTGTAGGAGACCTGGACAAGACTTCTGAAAAGGCATTCTAAATATAAGGAACATGTAGAAGATCTTCTATCTGTAGAAGACGAATAAAATTGTACTGGCAATAGAGGTCCTGTAAAAAGTCATGTGAGTGTAGGAGACCTTTAAAAGATCTTCTGAGTTTTCAAGACCTGAAAAAGGTTTTCTAAATATAGGACTTCTATAAAACGCTGTAGAAGATCTGTAAAAAGTCTTCTCGATATGGGAGACTTGTAAAAGGTCGTCGACCTTTAGAAGTCATGGAAAAAGTTTTATTTGGCAATAGACGACCCACAAAATTTCTTGTGGTCATCGAAGTCTCCTACCCATAGTGGACCGGCTTTAGCTATATACTATCTCTAGAGGCTCTCTAGCCCTGGAGTACCTGTAAAGCCCTATGTTTATAGAAATTCTATGTCATGGAGAAGTATTTTATCAAAAGTAAGTTCTTATTAAGGACTAGTATCCAAACAAGGGTTGTCAACAGACATTAATTTTTTTTATAGGAAAAATGCATTTTCACACACATGTATGCATGTATGTGTAAAATAACCATAAATTCCTTAACATTTTATTAAAAATTACAATCTGAAAAGGAATTGTAACACAATTTGTTCAGCTATTGTTCCGTTATTCATAGAAAAAAACTCAAAATAATAATTTATAAAAAGAAACAACGAAGAAAACTTGAAGAAAAGCGCCATAAATAGACATAGCATGTGATATATGTACTTGTGAAAATTTATTAATTTTTTTGGATTGCAAACACATGCGAGCACTCGCATTTACATGAATACTTAATGTACGCATATGACCCGATGTACTGTGTATATATACACATGTACACACTTATGTTTGTTCGAAGCGACGTAGAGATTCCTCTTCAAACAACATTGTGCTGTGATTTCAAAACGGAATTTCAAGAATTCTTTGGAAATCTTAAAGGGAAAAAATCTTATTTTATTGTGATACCACTTAACAACATACCACACGCACACACACACATGTATACATTTACACATTCCTGACATGCCGATTTTATCCCCACACCCTTTCAATCTGGCAGCTCTCCAAAATGATTTTTATTGCACTTTGGTTGGTTCGACTGACTGGATGGATGACTGGTTGGTTTGCTATCGAAATGGGGTGACAATACTGAGGGCAATGATGGAAAATGTGATAGAAATATGTACACACTTTTGTGGGGACATTTTTATGATTTTTATTGGAGGACAAGTGGAAATCTTAAAAGGATTTTGTTTTAATGTACAGACATGTTCGATGAACAGATTCTTAAACAGTTGTTGCAATTTAAAGGCTATGAATACCTTTTCAGGGTTTTTTTTGTAGCACAAATTAATAGGGACAATTAGGGGTATAATTAATGTGGAGGGAAATATTTCGTTAGTACTCATACGCCCGAGTACTGTCTTCGTTTAAGACTCATATCTCCGGGAAAGATAAGAAAGAACACATATTGTAGCATTTTGAAAGGGTTAGAGATTTTTTTTTTTTGGCTTTTTGGGATCTTAAAAAAATCGGCTGAAAAAATTAATATTTTAATTAAATTTTAAATTACCACGTTGTGTGACCAATTGTTGGATAGGTTTTTTTCATAAACCCGGATGGGGTCAAATATATAATTGTAGCATTTTGAAAGGGTTAAATTTTTTTTTTGGCTTTTTTTGGGATCTTAAAAAAATTCGGCTGAAAAAATTAATATTTTAATACTACGTTTTAAATTACCACATGTTGGATGGTTAGAGATTTTTTTTTTGGCTTTTTGGGATCTTAAAAAAATCGGCTGAAAAAATTAATATTTTAATTAAATTTTAAATTACCACGTTGTGTGACCAATTGTTGGATAGGTTTTTTTTCATAAACCCGGATGGGGTCAAATATATAATTGTAGCATTTTGAAAGGGTTAAATTTTTTTTTTGGCTTTTTTTGGGATCTTAAAAAAATTCGGCTGAAAAAATTAATATTTTAATACTACGTTTTAAATTACCACATGTTGGATAGTTTTTTTTTTTTTTTTTATAAACCCGGATGGGGTCAAATATATGGTTAACCGGATACCCTACCACGATATTTTGAAAGAAATTCCAAAAGATCGAAGATTTTCTACTTAACTAGAATTGTTCCCTTAGATTTCAAAATATCAAACTTCAGGGCCTTGCAAAAACTAAAACCCTAAAGTACAATCATTTCTTTTAGAAATTTTGGTAGAAAAGTTCGAAATGCCGAATATCTGGAGGTAACGCAATATGGGAGGTTTTCCAAAAATTTTTGTTCTCTGAGAGTCCACAATGAGAGTCCAAAATCTTGAACTACAGCTACTCTGGTTGAAATTTAATTTGAGACATAAACTTCAAAATAGTGAATATGAGGAGGAATTGTTAAATGGGGAATGTACAAAACGGTGGATATGCATTGAATGCTACACAGTGAACTGTCAAATTTCTGTTACATTTTTATACCCTCAGCCATATGGATAGAGAGAGGATATATATCATTTGATACGGCCAAAACATGCCTCATCGAAATAACGATTTTAGACCCTTAGTCTCTTTGGACCAAATCCATTTCAGGACATTTGGAGTCGATCTAGCGATGTCCTTCCGTCCGTCTTTCTGTCCGTCTGACTAGCTGGTGCGCACGATAACTCTCGAAGGGAGTATCCGATTTGATCCAAACTTAGTACATTGTAATATTATTATTAAACTTCGTTTAGATTTAGATCCAACTTAACAAATCCTAATATTTGCTAGGTCAGGTGCGAAAATGGACAATATCGATCCACTCCATCAAGGGTCAAAGTTTTTTGATTATAACTCTTAAAAAATGTGATGTAAGTGTCCGATTTTCTTCAAATTACACACATTACAATATTTTTATTTTATTCAACTGGTGTGAAGATGGAATATATTGGGCCACTCCTCTTGGTAACTCCCCCACATAGGGTTAAAGTTTTGAATGAATAAAACGATCATGAAATCCGAAATAAGCCTCGGATCCCTTCAAGTTACACACATCACCATATTTTAATTAAACCCAGGTCTGGTATGAGGATGGAATATATCGGTCAACTGTTTCTGATACTTCCTCCACAAAGGGTAAAAATTTTGAATGTTCATGAAGCTCATAAAGCACGAAATTAACATCCGACTCCATTTAGACTTGGCATATTTCAATCAACACAATATCTGTTATAAATATGGTAGAGATCGGATCATTCCTTCTGGTACCTCCACCACAAAGGATCAACGTTTTGAATACCAAAAACGATCATAAAATCCGAAATTAGCATCCTCCCCCCACAAAGGGTCAACATTTTGAATATTCATGAAGCTCATAAAACACCAAATGAACATCCGATTTCATTCAGACTTGGTACATCTCAATATTTTCATCAACGCAAGATTTGTTATAAAGATGGTGGAAATCGGACCATTCCTTATAGTACTTCCCCCACATAGGGTTCATGATTTTAAAAAACAAAACGCTTAAAGAAAGCGAAGTAAGCATCCAACTCTCTTGAAATTTCACACATACAAATATTTTTACTAACACAAGATCTGTTGGGAAGACGAACCCTCCCAACATACCAAAATGGCTTGAGAATAATATTACAATAAGCTTATGAACATAAGCCTTAAGCTTGAGAAAATTTTGAGAAAACATTGAAAAATGTTTGTATAACAAGTATAGAATAATCGAAACGGAACCCTTATTTATAAGCTTATACTTGAAATTGTAGAATAAGCTTACAAAAATAATATTATAATAAGCTTATTTTTGTAATAGTATAAAATATTATTTTTTTTTTAGTTTTTAATCATTTTTAACGTTTTTTCTTGATGGACATCCCAGTAGTCACTGCCGCATGTGGCCTTGATACTCTGACGCTTTCTTCTCCCTTATTTGAACTTCTGCATCTCTTCCACTAAGACTACACATTTATTGAATTCCTGCAACTTTTTTGATGCTTCCAATCTGAAATGGGATTGGAATAATTTATGTGAAAGATTCCCGGATTTATTATTCATCCATACCTTAAGGGTTCGGTCCACAAATGGGTCCTAAATTCGCGTGATTTTGTTTTTTGCCAAAGAAAATAATTTCTTGCTGACAATTTTCACAAAAAATCAAAACTAATTTGTCAACAAGGGACAAAATTGAGAAATGTTTGTGGAACATAAGTGTTTCTCAAGCATTGTTGAAAAATTATATTTTTATAATATTGTTCTCAAGCTGTATTGTATTTTTGGTATGTTGGGCTATATATGAAATATATGTAGTCCGGAATAACATGGTACATATCTTCAATTACACAGTCAAACCGACTTAACAGATTGCATATGGATTCATTCCTTGCTCTTCGCTTCCTTTCAAATATAGAATTAGAATTGGAAAAGCAGAATACAACAGCAGTACAACAACAATTATTTGAATAAAATCGTAAAAATGCAAACTGTTCAATTTCAATGCGATACATCTTTAAGAATTCCATTTCGTTCTAGACCTAGAAGTAGTCGTTTCTACATCAAGGAGTTTTACCTTTGTTAATATATATAAACTTTTAATATACCAATTCCATTCCATGTTTTTTTTTTAATTCAATATTTCTACTGTCTTTCATCATCATTGACACATCGTTCATTTAATACCCAAAGTCATATCGAGTCAATATAATTAACTTATTATTGAGTGTATACTTCATATTTTACATTTATACAAAGTCCAAAGAAATATCTGACAAAATGCATTAAAATATTTCTAATCATATTTATTTTCCTTTTAGCTAATTTCATTACGAAATATACATGTATCACAAGAAAATGCCTAGCGTAGGTGGCATTCCAGTCTCAAAAACAAACCCCAACATAACACGCTCTCTATGTCAATATTAACTCCCTCTCTCTCTATCTCTTGTTGTTTTACGGCTGACATTTGCTCAATAATGTAGTTAATATTTGCTTTCTCGGAGAGCTCTCAAAATCTCCCTCTCAATTTCTCACAGATTCCCCACGGTGGTTGTTGAATATATAACAGTAGGGGGAGTAGTAGATTGGTTGCTTGACTCTTGGTGTTGATAATGGCAATGGGTGTTAGGCGACTTTTAATGGCAACATTTGGAAGGGAACGGTGGGGGCCTAGGAGTATCTTGTGTACGTGCTTTCATTTCATTTTGACTTAGACTACGTCACAACCTGTATCATAAAGAAAAAACGAAGAAAATTTTGTATTCAAACATTTTGTATACATTGAACGCATACAAATGCAAGAAAAGAAATGCCCATACATACATTTATACACATACAAAGATATAAAAATTCTAACAAAATGTTGCTGGCTAAACAACTGGGACTGTTATTTGTGGATACCGGGTTTACGGGGACAGATGAGTAGCGAAATGCGTCAATGGCCAACGGGAGGCAATTTACTACTCCCTACCTAATGGGGAATGTGTAGCAATATCCCCCATTTCATTCCTTTTTGCAAAGAAAGAAAACTGCAGCTATAACAAAATATAGAGAAAGGATGAACTGAATATAAAATAATAATAATAAGAAGAAAAATATACCTATGTCGTCAAAGGTTCGCATGAATGAATGAAAACGCCATATGGTTCTTATTGGAATTCTGAAAAATTGAGAAAAAAATAAACGTTTATGGAAATATTGAATTGAAAAAAATCCATTCAAATTAAAATTAGTTTCTTGCTATTTTGAAGAAATTAGGATTAAATTCATCTCCTGTATGACAATATTAAGTCCTGATTTATACTAGGCGTATCGTAAATCTTTTAAACTTGCCTCCTGCATTTTTAATTATATTTTTGTATAAAAATCAAAAACAGCAAAACTCCCATTAAGAACTTTTTTTCATTTCAATCCCCTTATTTCTCGTTCCTACAAACAAAGAATTGCCGCCAGAAAACTTGACTAAAAAATCCGATTAAATAGGCCTTGGTTTAAACAAACATTATTTTTGATTAACTTTGTAAGAAATCAGAAAACTTATAGGCTCAAAATAAGGTTTCAATCCAATAATGACACCTTGGCTACTCAAAAGCGTAATATGATGGAGAGCTATGGGTAAAAAATGTTATATGAAAATATTACAACGGGAGAATCATTGGAAAACCTTGTATCGGACCATAACTGAAACAAATGTAGCTGCCTCGTGTGAAACATTAATTCCCACAAGAGACTCGTGGACCGACGGATTTCTATCACAAATGCCGAGTGGAAACGGGCTCAGTGCTAGGGGGAGAGCGGGACTGGGACTTTTTTTATTGAAGAACCATTTACCGTAATCTCTTTCCGCTTTCTCGATCATAATACGATCATAATACGATCCGGAGGTCCAAGCGATTGCAGAGTGTCTGAACTGGCTTAATGTTTTAGAATTTTACGCTTATCCAGAATATATATTCTTTGAATATTTCGAGGAGTTACAAACGGAATAAGCTAATATACCCTCCATAGAATGGTGGAGGGTATAAAATTGAGCTGAAATTAATCGGGTGTGTAATTTTAATATTTAATCGTACGTATACGCCACAATTAACTTTAAATGTTATTTTTTTTATTATTATTGACTGGAATAAGGTTTGTCTGAAGAAAAGTGAACAGACCGCATTTCTGCAAAAACTTGCAAGGAGAAGAGAAATTTGTCCTGCAAGAAGTTGCAAGCTCTCAATAGAGAACTGTCAAAGTTTCTCTCTCGAACCGCTCTATTTTGCTTAGCTCGGAGTGCGGTTGTAAGATTTAGAAGATTTTCCAAAAGAATTTTAGTTTTATGCAATTCTTTGGTTCCTCTTCTATTGAGCTTACGATCTCGTCACTTGGGTAAAAAAGATTTTTATCATAGAACTTATTTTTAAAATAACTTTTGGGGAGAATATCCCAGACAAAAAGCAAGGGAACTGATGAGGATTGATGGCTCTTTCCGAAACCTAGGTATTCCCCCTGGTAAACATTACTATCGTTCTCCACTAATAAACAAACGTTGTTTTTTATAAAAAAAAAACAACAATAAAGGCATTAAGCCTGACAATTTTGCAACAACAAACAGACTTCGGGCAATATGGATAGCTCAAAAGCAGTTTCAGAATAACGGGGATAATTCAGAAATTTGCATCACAGCACGTGTATAGCCCAGAAACTGTTTTTGGATAAAGTGTATAACTCGGTAATTGATTTTGGATAATGCAGATAACTCTAAAACTGACTTTTGATAACCGGTATAATACATGGTGGATAATTCAGAAACTGACTTGGGATAGTGTGCATAACTGCATTCAAATAACGTGCATAAGTTATAAACTGGTTTTTTGATAACGTCCATAAATAATTTGATAACGTCGATATAATCAATCATTACCATCAATAGTTTTCCAAACATCCGCAATATTTCTTCAATACTTAAAAGATTAGGGCTACAATAATTATTTGGAAAATTCCCAAAATCAACGTTCATATCCATGATTGCGCTTGAAAAAAATCTCCTCGATTGTTCTGGTCTTGCAAAAATATTCTTTAAAAAATCCGAGTTGATTGCTCTGCTATTCCTAAAAAGAATATTTTTTAAAAAATTCTAATAATCCTTCAAAAAAATTATTGAAAATATCCTCGTAAAATACTATGATAGCCCTTAAAAATGTCGCATTAAATCGTCCTTGAAATAATATTCTTTTAAAATCCACATTATTTGCTATGATAGCTCTTCACAAAATGTCATTTCAAAATGTACGTTAATTGTTGCTATTCTCGTTGAAAAATGTCTCACGTGATCCTTTGATAATATTCTTAAAATAACACATTGTGATGGCTCTTAAACTTTAGTTCTTTAAACATCTGCGCTTTGATAGTCTATTCGCTTGGTTGGTCTTATGGATCCCAAACAAAATATTTAAAAAAATTCACAATGGTCCTCAAAAATAATAAATAATTTTTTTAATATCGTGTAAACTCCTTTTATGATTACCTATGTTATATTTATATTCAACCTTTTCCAATATGCTCACATTCACTTTCTCCTTTCTATCTCCACAGTTTTCTTTTGTGATTGTTTCCCAATAAAATATTTTCTATATCTACGCCTTAAAGTATGCTGTGGGATATTTGATTTGCTTGCCCTTTAAAAAGTAAACAAATAAAATACGTTCTTCCTGGAAGGCTAAATTGCCTCAAATTGATTATTATTTCTTTGAAAATCTAAAAAAACACAAAATTTACGTTTTACTAATAAAGCATCTAAATATAGCTAACATGTGCATTGACATTTATCGCTACATTGGCTATGGCATTAATATTTAACAACATTTGTGTTATTTTCGTTACATTGAAATGTACAACGGAATTGTTTTTGTAGAGACAATTTGAAAACTTTTTTTCTTTTAGAAATCGCAAGCTTAATTGTTTCGTGATTTTTTTATAAGGATAAAGTTGGAAGTTTTGTTTTTTCAGTATTACTTTCTTTTTTATTTTTAATAAATATAAAATATTTGCAAGCCTTTAGTCTGCTCCAGAACTGCAAGAATATAAAAGATTTTTCTACGATAACCATAACCAAATTTAGACTGCTGTCATTTCTAAGCCACTCGTCCGACAGATGTTAAAATTATTCCAGTGACAGGTGAACAGCCGAATTTGGTTTTCTCCGATGAGAAAACATTCGTTGTCCAGCAGTTTGCAAACAGACAATATGATCGTGTTTACTTGCCAAAGAGGTCAGCTAAAAATGTGCACCTTCGGTTGGCCACCAAAACTCAAGCGCCGGCCATGGTGATGCTGTGGGCCGCCATAACACCATAATCGACCGTGCCATCAGAATAAATGCCAAATATTATCGCGAAAATATTCTGGAGGGTGTATTAAAGCCTTGGGAACGCAAACATTTTGGTCGCAGACCTTAGTCATTCCAACAGTACTCAGCACGCGCCACCCAAGAATGCTTACAAAATGAGGTTCCTCGCTTTATTTCCAGCGCACAATGACCACCAAAATCTCCGGATACGAATCCGTTGGATTTTTGTGTCTGGAATATTTTGGAAAGCAAGGTTGGCACTAAAAAATACGAAAGTGTCGATCACCTCAAGCAAGCGCTTCGCCGGGAATGGGCCAAAATACCGCAGAACTACATTCGGGAACAATTTGTATTTTGTCTAGGATGGTTGGTATTGAAAATGATATATATCGGTCCAGTATTTGGTATAGTCCCCATATAATGGTACCTCCCGATATTCGGTATTTTGGTGGTTTTTGTCAATTTTTTTTAACGGATTTATCTAAACATTGCTATTTGTTGGTCATAATGGGTTCTAGCTCCGGTGGCGAAACATAAGGAAGTCAAATCATATTATAATAAAAACTTCTGACTTCTTCTTACAAAATTGTTGTCAAAATTAGTCTTTTTGTCCGACTTTTTCATCTTCAAAAAAATAATATTTTTTAAAATATTCAAAATATGCTTTAAAATATTAAAATTTCTATGCTTCAAAATGTTAAAAAATCTTCCATTAACACTAAATTAAATTTCGGTAAACTATTCATTCATTCACATCACACCAATTATTTGCTATTAAAAATTTACCAAACATTTATTTTCGTTTTCCTTTCCTATTTTTTATTTTGTCTTGAATTTGCATTCGGCAATTGACTTTACTGCCAGCCAACCAGCCCTGCTCACAATGACGACGACGGCAACTGAGAGGTATGGCCAACGTAAAACGAGTTAAAAATAGATATTACAAAAATAGTTAAATTCATTTTTGATGTTGGTTGTTTGACGGTAGTTAATGTTTATTTCGCGGCCATTAGATTTATGTGTGTATAGGGATGTATGTGCGTGTATTCTATTCTGTTAAGGACTATTTTTCGGTTCTTAATTATATTTCAACACGTAAAGGCTAATAAACCAAGGGAGAACCACAAAAATATACACACATATACATATACATACACATTTTCAAACAGGTGTATCAACAGACCCTAACGCACACGGCCACACTCTGACACTCAGTTTTTGATTGTTGATTTCTTTGGTCTATTTTTTTTCTTCGTGGCTTTTTTCCGTTGTTCTAAATATAATTCACTACGTATATATGCAAGTTATTTTGTTGGTTTTCGTCGTTATTGTTTCTGCTGTTGTCAATAATTGCAGGTGGGGCCGTGAAAATGAAAAGCAACAGCGACAGCAGCAATAGCAAAAAACCCCATCAATTTGTTTAATAATTTTCTATTCTTGGTTGTGTTGTTCGCTCGAAGGATATTGGCTTTATAATGTCGGTGGACTTTTAAAAAAAAAAAGAAATACAAATTCATAATTTACAGACGTCATCAAATATCTATTAATCTACATAACAGTGATATAAAGAGTTTATATTTAGAAGGAGGAAAAAAATGTAGGACTTCATTTTTTTTTAATATCCTAAACATATGGAATGTTATTTTTGGAACATATGTCTCTGGCATAATGTTAAATGATAATTATTTAAATGAATATTTTTAGGATTTGAGCGGTAGCACGTGGCTTTTCTATTTTTCTTTGTTAATAACAATAAAAATCATTCACAATGGTGGGCCAGTAATGAGTGCTTGATGATGATGATTCAATTGTAATGATTTTGAAAATCGGTTTTTAGTAGTAAATGTGTATTAATACATAGACGTTTATTTATTTTTATATTTAGAATGCCTTTTAATAGTCTTCTTCATAAGAAGTTACACTAGGAAAACTGATTTATGTTCCCCTAACTAAAAAAAGGCTTGAATATGTTTTGTTTTACGTTAAAGATATTAAAAGGGATATAATCTGTAAATGGCATTTTAATGATCTTCTGACTTTTAAAATGCATCCGTCTGTATCAAAAGTCTTCTAACCATAGCAGATTTTAAGGGCCTTCTCTATATTAAAAACCTTTAATAGGTATTCTCTTTACAGAATTCATTTTAAAGGCTTCTAAAAAATTGTTGTTCGCCAATAACAGACTTTTAAAAAATAGAAGACATTCTAGGTTTGTCTGGTTACCCTAATGTTTGTAACAATGGTTAAAAAATTGCTACTGGAAGTCGTCTGTCAACACAAAAGTTCTGCAAAAAGAAAGCGGTTCGAGAGAGAAATATAAAAGTACTAGAAGTTTGCAAACTCAAAGTCAAAACACTTTGTGTTCTTATAGTACGTTTAGACTTATTGAATCGAGTGAATTTCAACTGTCAATTGTCTCAAGTGAAATCCATTGGATTTTCGAGATTTTGAGTCTTCTACCATGGATTTGGTTTGGTGTTATACCAAGTTCATATGGAACGCTATACGCTCTTAATTCGTCGTCCTTTATTATGTAGTTAATTTCCCTCCAAAATTTTTCTGAATTAGATCACTTTCGGAAAAATAAACTATGACGTTTCTAAATGCTAAATATGAAAAAAGATAAAATTCTAACATTTTTATAACCAGTTTGTGGAGAAAACAAATGCCCGTAAGAACATGGTATAAGAGAGAATTTTCGAGAGAGAAATTTTATATTTACTGGGAGTTTGAAATTCTTTTTGGACAAATATTTTCTTGCAATCACTTAGAACTCTTCTTCTTCCTTTTCCGGTGATTTATATTTGGGCAAGCAATTTTAAAGCATCTTTTACTCTGTTCCAGAACTGAAAGAATGTAATAGCATGTTTCCATTGGAAACCGAACAACGTTGTTCGCTCTCAGAATTGGGTACACGAATTAACCCGTTCATACGGGACGGTTCGTAATTCATAGTAAAATAATTCCTTTTTACAAAATTTTTGTTTGTTGATTTTAATGGGAATTTATACTAAAATACATGAAATTCTCACTAATATGAATAGAAGAAATTATTGTTTTCCTTCCGTAGATTTATTATATCATTAATTTTACAATTTTCATTCACGTTTTCAACTTTTTGTGTAAATATTGACATTTTGAACATATTTTTGTGTTTTTCCATTTTTAAATTCTGCTAGAGAGACACTTGTCAAATATTTTTTCTGTCGATACAAACATTTTGAAAATATTGCCTCTTTTGTTTGCAGTTTTCTGTGGAAATTTCAACTCGTGGACCAAATGCGTACCTCGAATGAGAGAGAAAACAAAATTTACTTTCGTTTGAATGTACATACGCCATTCAACATTGTAGTTTTCATTCATAATTTTCAGTCTTCCCAAAAATTTTTAAAATTTCATTAAATTTTTCTGTTTTTCATTTTTAAATGTCATAATTTATTTTTTCGATAAATGCTCTCATTTGTTAGGGATGGGACATATTTTTTCGTTGTTCTGAGAGTGATTTGATTTGAACAACGTACAAATATGAGTGTTCGCTCAGGAAATTTTGTGTGAAGAATTAGGTAGTTTTTTCATTGTTAAGGGTCAAACAACGAATAGAGAGCGAATCAAGTGCAGTGGAAACGCTACATTAAAGGTTTTTACTACGATAACCGATTTCTCCTTCTGGAACATAGCATTTATCATGCCAAACAATAAAAGTAGACTCATTTTCTAAATCTATTATGGTAACCCCTTTCTGAAGTACTCGATCTTGTAATTTTTCAAATAAAATTTATTTCCATATCTTAAATAATAACAAATGACCAGTGGCACAAAAATAATAAATGATAGATTATTTTCAGCGTTCCTTGGCACAGTTATATGTTCCATACGAATATTATTTATCTTTTACTAAGCTTAAACTTATAAAAATAGAGGTTTGAAATCCTTCATCTTAAGGAAACATTCTGAGCGCTGTTAGTTCTTGTGTAGTTTTCGAATAACGTTTTGTTTTAAGCCAGTATTTAAGAATCAAGGCCACAAAATAACAATGGATTCTGTATAAAACAACATCTTTCGCTAACAATTTTCTGTAATGAAATTGAGGCCGAATTCGTTATTATAGCAAAACTAGTCACGATATTCTCAATCTTCGTATTTTGAAACAAAATTAAACCATTCCATAATCAAAACTTACATGACTTAGAGGCTAATATTTCAGTCTTTTGTTTTAGATTATATTCCTCCATGACTTCATACCCTCTAAAAGGCGAGAAAATGACCGAATATTTGGTCGAGAAGAAATGAAAATGAGCTGTACGCTCATATTTAAGAATAAATAATAAAAATAAATATGACAATTCGTGAAATTCAAATACAAAATTTTAGTCATGCATCTTTATTTGGGAAATCGAAAACCTAATTATTTTATTTTTCGGTTCTTTTTAAGATTTTCGTGCTTCATTCCATGGTACAAAAATTCAGGTAGATGTATGCATCAACGCTTGCGAACATTGTCAAAATCATATGTCAAAAATCTTGAAATCTTTTTTTTTTAAATAAGTAGATTTTTATGTTTTCTTATACGACACCACTCAGATTTTGTTATGACATGCATTTTTGTTACAAATTTGAATAATTTTTCACTCAAACCTTTCAATTCCAAAATTGGTTTGACAGATGGTTTTGTTTTGAGAGGGTTTGATTGGTTGCAAGTTTTTGCAGGGATTCTGTATCCATAATTTTTTCAGAAAGAAGCAGCTGGACAAATCTGGCTGGAAAAATAGCCAAACAAACCTTCCACCTTCAAAGAGACTTTAAAAGTTTTGCTGTCTACAAGATCATCTGAATGGTCTTTTTCCATAGAACATCCTTGCTATATTGCTCTGATAGTACATTTACATTGTATTGAAATTAGCAAATTCTAATCTAACTGTCAATTCCATTGCATATATCATAAATAAATCCTCGTAAAGGAGATAAATCCAAAGCTCCAATATAAACATGCTATTAGATTGTTAGTATTTTTGAAAGCAAAAACTCACTCACCTGTGTCGTTCATTTCTCAGCTATGAAAATGTGTCCGACATTTACGTCATAACCAATATTTATGATATTGTGTGGGCGTCCCAGCAAAATATGATAAGAAGTTGTTTACTATTTCCAGTTTCCACTTTTGCAACAGTAAATTTTTTATATTGAATGTGGGATACATAAATACGTCTATGTTCGTCTATGTGCTGCCATCAAGAGTTATAGGATTGGTGCATTTATTGGACCAATAAATCTCATTAACTTTCAAATTAAGGCAGGAGCATATTGGCCTTATAAGGTGCCCTTCCTTAAACTCTTGCAGTATTGTGATCCTTTCCTTTGACTAGAAAGATCTACAATTTACCAATATTCCATAGCAGCAATCATAGCACAATCAAAAAATACTCCATTTGCGGCAGCTGACCATCAAAATGAGTTGTCAAAACACTTATTGTGATTAACATCACTGTAAGAAAAATAAACAAAAAATAACCAAAACGTTGTCAACGTTGTATAAAACGCTTTTTTGCCGGAGTTTTAGGTTGACTTAGTTCGATTTCGGCCCATAATTTATACATGTTTACCCAACGCAACATTGAACTAAAATACATGCAGCTTTAAAGACTCGATAATAGTAGAAGAATGTAGGTAGACGCGTCGACACAGCTGCTGGGACAATGAACTGTCAAACCAATTTTGGAATTGAAAATGTTGAATGAAAAATTATTTAAATTTGTAAAAATTGTTGAAAACGCGAATTATAATAGCCTTCGAATGACGTAGTATAAGAAAACATATAAAAATCAACTTATATTTGAAAAAACTTTTGAATTTTATTGAAATATCAATGCTCCCAAGCGTTGATGCATCTACCTGTATTCTTCTGCCATAAACTCGATCAAACGATATTTTTTACATATATAATGTCAAATTTTCTACATGAAGAAATTGCACATATAGTGTGATACATGGACAATTTTTCAGTTGTGTAATACATAAGTAACGTAAATAAGTACTTTTCCGATCACAGCAGATCCTATTTTATTTTTGACAGCACATATGTAAAACCCATTCCGTCTGATAATGCGCTTATGTATCATCAACTTCAAGCTGAAAACATAATCAACATTGGAATTTGACCAAACGATGGAATATAGAAAAGAAGTTATTGCGAATATATATTTTATAGAGTAGCAAATATAATATAAATAAAGAAAATTATTTTTTCTTTCTTTGTTAATATTATATGTCGTTAAAAATATATTTGCTAAGCTATAAAATATATATGTCGCAATAACTTATTTTCTATAATCGATTGTTTGAGCACAAGATTGTATAGTTCATTATCCCAACAGAATCCACTATTTTTTCAATTTTCTTCGATATTATAAAGGGAAATTCGATTATCGTAGTAAAAACTTTTAGATTCATGCGTTCTGGAACAGACCATATGTTAGAGTCATATGTAAAGTGACTTATTTTATATTTAACATTTTGTAGCATACTTTAAGGTGCTCAAAAATCATGTGAAGTCTAGCCTTTACAGTCTACACAGGTGTGTTATCAAATTATTTGTTTAAAAATTAAAATTCCTGATGTACTGCGACTCCGTTGCCATAAGATATTGAAATCATTCCGTTAAATGGAAAATTGTGTTTTAAACAAAAAACATAACAAAATTTTTAAAAGTTGATTATAATTAAAAAAATACTATATGTATTTTCTCCTTTAGATTATATACATATTTTCCATTATCCTTTTTTGTAATTTCAGGCCTTCGTCGAAGACCACTACAACCAGCTCAAAGCTCATCGTATGAAGTCAATTCGGACTTTTTGACGCAATTGATGGAAGAGAATGCACGGCGCAGGCTGCAGCAACAGTTCGAACAACATTTGGAGCTGATCAATTTGAAATTGATGCGACAGCGTCAGAGAGAGGAGCGATTAAGAGAACGTTATCGCCAACAGCAATTGGCGGCAATGGCAGCCGAAAATGACGACGATTATGATTATGTGAGGAAATATAAAGAAAATACCGATGTCAATACGGACAGTGTTAGCAGCAGCAGCAGTAGTAGTAGTGGTAGCATCAACAACAACATCGGAAACAGCAACAACAACAACAATTTACAATATGTTGAACAATACGATAATACAAATCAAGATTTCAGCTTCAAATATCCCAGTTTGGAAAATATTCACAATCTAAGGGATCGCATTAATTTCGCCGTCAATCCCAACGATCCGCGTTACTATGAGAATGTCGATGAAAATGCTGGCGGTTATATGGTGGGTAATATGGAGGCGGCCAATGACATTGATGGCTTACGTGACGAAGATGCTGGCGGCGAAGATGATGAAGTCACGGATGGTGAAAAGGATGAAGACTTAGATTCCCAGGTTCTTGATGAATATGAAGAATATACACCGCAAGTTGATGCCAATGGCATTGAGGCGGATGGCAAAGCAGCGGGTAAATTATCAGGTGACACTATGATATTACCACCTCAACAAGCGGGCATTGTTGGCCAGGGCAGTAATCCCAATTTCCATCGCATTAAACCGCAATCTGTGTCGGCGGCTGCAGCGGCTGGTGTTAATTCAATAAATGTGAAACAAGTCCAGGCGGGTGGTGTGGCACCAGCACGTCAAGACATGACGTCGTTAATTGATAAATTACATCCGAAAGGTGATCAACTGACACCGGGTGTAATGGATGGCTCTGGCGATGGCCACATGGTGGTGCGCGAGCATTTGGGTATGAAGGGTGAAATGGGCATGTATGTTGTGGCTTTAATAGCGGGAGTGAGTGCAGCAGCTACTGTGGGCTTGTTTGTTCTAGGCATAGCATGGTATACGTAAGTAAATGTTTTGTAATTTAATGAAATAAAATGATGAGGAGTGGAAAATAATGCGTGTTTTTTTTTTCTCTTTAGATTCCACAATAAGAGCAAAGCTGCTGCTGACGTTGATTATCCCGCCTATGGTGTTACTGGCCCGAATAAAGATATTTCCCCCTCCGGTGATAGGAAACTGGCCCAAAGTGCACAAATGTATCACTATCAGCATCAGAAACAACAAATAATTGCCATGGAGAATCGCCAAAACAATGAAGAGAACTGTGAAATGTCCTATGTCGAAAGTGACGATGATAATGAGGAGGGTGATTATACGGTCTATGAATGTCCTGGTTTGGCACCGGTAAGTTAATATTGGAGGGGTTATTCTCAATTATTTTAGGATATTACAAATATGTGATAGTTTAAAGTACAGAGGTGAGGGCCGCGAATTCGATAAGGAATTATGCCCGAACGCAGAACTGAACATAAAGTACAATATATTGACTTATAGCGCGTTTATACTAATTAAGATTAAGCCAATGGTTTTAATAGATCCAGTGTGTTAACCTTGTGTGTATAAACACACCCTTAGGAGGACATAACTGCCGAGCAGCTGATTGTTTACGTATACATACAGGGTGAGATGAAAAAACTGCAACCAACTTCAGACTGCTGTCATTTCTAAGCCACTCGTCCGACAGCTGTTAAAATTATTGCATGGACAGCTCATTATATTGTTAACAAGCGCACAAAAGCATTTTGTTGAGAATTTTCCAGAAAAAATGTTATTCGTGATGGAATTCAAGCGTGATAGTGAGATTTCTTTATATTTGGCTGGATAACCACAAGTGGCTATCATTAGAACACTACAGAATTTAAATGTGAATAAATCTTTTGTGTCTCGTACTATCGCTCGTTACCGTGATACTGGTAGCGGAGCCCGACGTCAAGGAAGTAAACGGAAGAAAACAGCAACATCAGCAGAAATGGTTCGGAAAGAAAAGAAGTGATTTGATCGAAACCCGCGTCGCAGTGGCCGAACAATGGCTCGTGAGCTGAACACATCACAAAATTCCATTTGACAATTATTGAAAAATGTGCTCGAAGTAAAGCCATTGAAATTCCAAAAAGTCCAAGAACTTACACCGCAACAGAAAAAAAATGGACTGAAAAGAGCTAAAGAGTTGCTTCGCTTGACCGAAAGTGGTGAACTGACGAATTTGGTTTTCTCTGATGACAAAACATTCGTTGTCCAGAATTTGATGCTATTTCCGACATTTTTTGCTCTCATTCAATAAAATTAAAAAAAAAAAAAATTAAAAATTATGACATTTGACTTTGTTGAAGTTTTTCTATCTCACTCTGTAGATGCATCAAGGCTTGGGAGCATTGATATGTCAATAATTTTTTTTTTTTTTTTTCAAAAAATTATTAGATTTTTGTGCCTTTTCTTATAGGACCAACCGGATGATGTTATGATATTCATTTTTTAAAAATTTTTACACATTTAAAATAATTTTAATTCAATATTTTCAATTTAAAAAATCGGTATGACAGTTCATTCTCCCAGCAGCTGCGTCGATGCGACTACATGCACTCTTCTACCATGGTTCTACCTTACCTTTTCATTGTTCCATGGATACATGGACGACATTTCAATTGTGAAAAACATGGTAGAAAAATACAGGTAGATTTACAACGTTTGGGAACATTGATATGTCAAAAAAAATTTAATATTTTTCCAAAAATAAATAGATTTTTATAAGTTTTCTTATACGACGGCAATCGGAGATTGTTATGATATGCATTTTTTAAGAATTTGTACAAATTTAAATAATTTTTCATTCAATATTTTCAATTACAAAATTGGTTTGACAGTTCATTGTCCCAGCAGCTGTGTCGACGCATCTACCTATATTCTTCTACCATGGTGAAAAACATAAGTATATGTACTTTTTCGGTCACAGCGAGCCCTATTTTCAGCGGAAAATGTAATGGAATCAAAAATTTTTGTTAGTTTTTTTGTGTGAAAATATATACAATTATTTTTGCGGAAAAGTCATTAAAAAATTATATATTTTTAGAAAATACATATAAAGAAACTTAGGCTGCAAATACATAAAAAGCTTGAAGTCATGGCTAGGCATATTAATGCCAAATTATAATGAAAAACGACGGCAGGATTTTAGTGCGGCTCTGTAATTCCTTTGTGAAATGTCACAAAATAGGCCGTGCCATGACTTCAAGCTTCTTATGTACTTAGCCCTTTATCGTCTGATAGCACTTTAAAGCATATGATTTATAGCATGTTCACATTGGCAATGTTTGTCAGGAGAAATTTACCCATTGGATTTGCTCAATCCGTGCAATAGTTTATTATATTACCGTATATCACTTTGCACCTCTTCTTTCGTTATACCTTTATATCACCTCTAACTTAATGTCTTCCATTTCTCTTCTCTTGCAGACTGGTGAAATGGAGGTGAAGAATCCGTTATTTTTAGATGATACACCAGTTACACCATCGTTGGGTAATCATCCTATAACTCAGGTTTCGGCACAACAGCCATCGGTTAAGAAAATATTCGAAAAAAGTCAACAACAGACAACCACAAGTGCTGCAGCAACGTCATCGTCAGCAGCACCATCGAATGTTGCGGCAACGTCTTCCGATGATAAGAAATCCAAGAAGTCAAAGAAATAAATTTGTTAAAAATTCAAAAACAAAAAAGTCGACACAAATATTTTCTTTCTTATTCTTTGTGCTGTAAAAAAATAAATGAAAGTTGAGATTATAATTGACCAAATTGTTAAACGGAATTTCGGCACATTTTACGTTTTTTCCCGATCGTGTAATTTTAAACACAATTAACTCTTATAGCTTTAAATATGACCCAAAAACACATTAAAAAACACGTAGGAGAAATATAAATTCTGTTAAAATGAGAAAATTGAAGTTAAATGACAGGAATTTATTACTTTTTACGTGTGAAACTGGACTTTTGATTAAAACAGAATCAAAGCATAACGTCAAAAGGTATACTTACATTTCAACGCTCAAAAAGACAAAGTCCACCAATTTGTAGCGCACTGTTTGTACTTCAAATTTAACTTTTGACAGACTACCATTACGCAACGTTTACATCACGTTTGTTTAAAGGGTCACAATTTCTTTAAAGGCTTGTTTACACTAAACTTGTTTTAATAAAACTTATCATTTATATGACATATATATGTGCAATGGAATTGGCAGGTTTGATGATGAGTTTTATTTTAGCCAGTTCGATGTAAACGTAGACTAATATTTTCTAAAATTAATATTCTATGCAATTGGAAATTACTACAAAGTAAAAAAAAAATACTGAGTAAAACTCATTATTAACGAGAACATAATAAACACGACAAGAAGTATAATAAAAAATCTAATTAATTTTCAGTGCTAATAATGATGTTGCTTATTTAAAAAATAATTATAATAATTATATATGGAATATAATTCCTATGAAAGCTAATTGAGAAATTTTTGTTAAACAAATTATATTTAATATATAATTTAACTTTTCTCTAAAGTCCCAATGCGAAAATTAAAATCTTTTGTATACAATTAAGTTTTAAAACTTTTTCAAAGCGACGTTTACATTAAAGCGCAATTTGGGCAACATCTTCAATGGGATTTAGTGCACGAAAATGTGAACGCCGCATTATTATGTTCGTAAAGCTCTCCCAATTTTAACAAATATTAAACTCTCCACTCTCTCACACACTTTTCTTCCTTAACTATAAGTGTAACCATAAAACAACCATTTATTAACATCAAAATCAACAAAACCCAAACTTAAAACAATCTATATTGATGTTGAACAACTAAAACCAATCAAACTAATAACAACCAAACAAATCTAAACAATTAAAAACTCATTAACAATTTTTCAACATTTCAATAACTCCACATTATAATAACTTAATTTACTCTTTTTTTTTTAAAATAAAACCAAACACACATAAGTATACATACATTTTTCATACTTCTCTTCATACATACAAACAAAAAACGGAACTAACTAAAGGAACTGTGTGTAAATGCAACTCTGTATTAGTTGGGTAAAACTACGGCATATTGCAGAAAGACTTGGTTTATACCTTACATGGTTGAATAAAAAGCAACATTTAAATTATCATTTCCATTAAATATATGTTAAATTACTACTTTTTTGTGGAATCCTGCTTCAAATCATCTTTATATAAACCAGTGCACTAAAAGTATGTTTGGACTTAAGGTGAGAATACATAAAAGGATATTTTGACTGGCTTAAGTCATCGACTGGCTTCTTGGTAAAAGAGCAAGGGAATTTTAGTTTGGTTAATTTATACTTATAAACCCCACGCTCCATTGTTCTTTTACGAAAAAGCCAGCCGATGACTTAAGCCAGTCAAAAACGCCTTTTATGTATTCTCACCTTTACTTTATCGAGTGGATTTCAATAACAATTCAATTACGTATGCGTCTAATAAAATCGACTCTCAAATCCAGTGGATTTCATTTGAGGTATATTTGACAACTGAAATCTTCGCAAAAAAATTAAAGTAGAAATCCATTTGGTTTCGTAAATGTAAACATGCTTTTAGGTGTCATCCATGGTAGAAGAATGCGCTTGGAACATTGATATGTCAAAAAAATTAAATGTTACCTCAAACATAAGTAGATTTTTATATGTTTTCTTATATGACGTCATTCAAAGGTTATTATAATTCGCATTTTTCAACAATTTTTACAAATTTAAATAATTTTTCATTCAACATTTTCAATTCCAAAATTGCATTGACAGTTCATTGTCCCAGCAGCTGTTCGCAGATGCGACTACCTGTATGCTTCTACCATGCCTGTCATATGTTGAACATATATGGCAATTAATAAAGTTACCTGGCCACACACAAAGTTTGCATGTTCCATTTTAAGAAAATGCAATTTCCTATGATAGTTTTCAAAATAAAACACGATTAATTAAATAAAACCTATTTTAGAGGAAAGTATAAACATTGTCCAAGCGATTTTTCAAAATATATTTTTTTAATTTTGTTTTCTCCATGACAAATAACAAATTACAAAGCCAAGGCCTGAATTTTTTCATCATCAACATTGATCATTTCAATGCAATGTTGCATTTACACGCAGACCAACTTTTACATTTATATATACATATATATGGTTAACATATATAAATTTATATATACATACATACATAAAACAACAACACAATATTAACACTTAACAGTTTATCCGAGCCTCTACTTTTTATTCATCTCTTTAAACAAAAATTAAAATAAAATACAAAGCTTTATTTAATTACAACAATACCAAAAAAGAAAAGAACAAAACAATTATTAAAAAAACATAACATTTTGCCTTCATGACATTAAAAAAAAAAAATAAAAAAAAGAACATACAAATGCAAACCTAACAAAAGAAACAAATAAACAAACAGAAATTTCAAAATCTAAACCAAATGTACTATCATGCGACAAATTATGTGTTATATATTTATATATGAAAGATATACATATATAGAAATGAACATGCAAACAAAATAAATACAAATAATTTAAATGAAGTGTGTATATGAAAGGAGAAACTGTTGTAGCTATATGCGATAAGATGGCGGAAATGGGGACAAGGAAATATTGAATGCGATTAGCAGTGTTTACATTCCATTTATTGGTATAACAATCAGCTGATGTTACCTTACAATTTTTATGTAATTAGGCATTAAAGAAGAAAGTGAAAACAAAACACTGTTATACATTTGATAAGCAGCCCTTAACAGAGGGTATCGATAAATTTCATAATTAGAAGAAAATTTCCAAATCAGTTCAAAATATTTCTATTCCCAAACGAGAGATTATTTACTTTGAGTGGCCATATTGATGTGTGGCCTGCTATCTTTATTAGTTGACTATCTAATATCGTCATGTGTGAATAGGTATTAAGAAGATTACATTTAATGTCATTAATAGTATGTTTACATGAAAATAATTATCCAGATTAACCCGATATTCACAATAATTAACAATACATTTGTTTTTATTGGTAAATTGTCACGGTTTATCCGGGTAAAAATGTTGCATGCAAACTCACTGCAAGGGTGTTTATAATATTGTTGGAAACATATGCTCCCATAGATAATAATAGATAATTTCCATGGTAGAATAAAACAGGTAACAGCAAGTGTTGTTGTACAATAATCTTAACAACAACCGCATACAAATTTGTTTTTGTAAGTAATACAAGTGTCAGAGTTATGTGTCCAAAAATGTAAACAAAATAATTGTCAATAAATTATTTTAGTTTCAAAAATATACATTTTTGGAATTTGGATTATTAAATTGAAAATGCAAGAGAATGCTTCTTAAAATATTAAATTGTAATGCTCTCACTTCATTCCCCTGAATGTATAGTTGTTAGGTGTTCGTCCTAATCTCTCAACACTTCAAGCAATCCATGGTAGAAAAATACAGATAGAGCATTGATATGTCAACAATTTTTAAATTTCTTTTCAAATATAAGTAGATTTTTATATGTTTTCTTATACGACGTCATTCGGAGTATATTATAATAGTCGTTTTTCAACAATTTTTACAAATTAAATAAGTTTTCATTCAACATTTTCAATTCCAAATTTGCTTTGACAGTTCATTGTCCCAGTAGCTGTGTCGATGCGTCTACCTATATTCTTCTACCATGACGCAATCGCGGAAAGGCAACATTCCTTTCAATTTGAAACCAAACATCAAACATACATAAAGTATTCTATATTTTGCAATTTTAGGACACCTGAAATATACGAATATATTATCTAACGTGGTGTCGCTGTTTCTTAACCGCAAAAAAAGTTTCCGAACCATAGCCTTTGGCATTTTGTTAAGTACAACGGCGATTATTTCTATTGTCAAGCAAAAAATGTGTTTACATTGCCCTGCAGTGAAATTCTATATCAAAAAGGGTATACCTATTGTATATTAAGAAATAGAATTAAATCACAAAACGTAAAATCGAGTAATAATTATACCATGGATAATGTCATGAAATAAATGTGTTTCTTTAAAATCTTCATGAAATTGGGCGAAAAAAACAAAATAATTGATAGGGTCTAATATTACGTCTACACTATCAAATGGATTTCAACTGTCAATTCCACTTGGTGTATGTCAAATGCAATCTGCTCTCAAATCCAGTGAATTTCATTTGAGTTTTGGAATTGACAGTTGAAGTCATCTGTATATCCATGAAATGACAATAATCAATGTAGGTTATTTTTTCATCAAACGCAATTTTCATCAAACGCATTGCAATAAAACGCGAAATTGAGAGTATCAAGAGAATGTCACAAAACGATATTTTTCAAAATTTCTGAACATTTTCTAATATTTTTTTTTGATCGCATTTTGAATCGTCTCTCTATTAATTTGTCCCCATTTGCCGTAAGTGATGTATAAATTAGATAAAACTTGATAATTAGTGTAAAAATGGATACTTTATAGCATAAATATTAAATTTTTTCCTTTTCGATTCTTGAATACTTGTAAACATGTATCACTCTATTAATTGCTCATTTCCATTACATAACAATATTATTTAAAAACCAAATACAACTCCCTTAAATAACATAATAATAGTGAAACCAAAAACTGATAAGCCAAATCTGTTTGAAAAAAAAACAAACAATTCCAAACTTCATGCAGTATCTCAAATCTGAAAGCACTTAAAAGTTGATTTTCTTTTTTTTTTTCAAACTAACAAAACCAACTGAAACACTTTATGTAACCAAATGACTTAATGCTAATATTATGAACAAACCAAAAACAGGCAACTAAAGTTGTGCAAGTCTTTCTTTTTTGTAGTAAAACCAACTAAATATTATTATATATATATTTAAAACCAAACAAAGAACTACAACAATTTTTTATAACTTTTTTCTATAACAACAACAAAACTAAAAATCCAAACAAACAATTTATTAAATGTGTATAGATTTATTATAAATAAATTAAAAAAAAAACAAAAACAAATAACTAACATACATTTTTTTAAATACTTTAACTAAATACCAAAACAACTTTTGCCCTCTAATGTAAAACTTTGGCATTTCATTTAAAAAAAAAAAACTAAAACAAAAATTAACTTTTTAGAACTTAAACAACAAAAAACAACATAATATTTACTAAATTTAAAACCAAACCAAAAAAAGATCCTACCATACAATTATTAACAACCCAAAAATCCTGAGCGAATCAATTATTTTTGTTTATTCAAAGAAAACTAAACCATTTTTAATTGGATGCGAAATGTTTAAAGTGAAAATAAATTTATTGGAACATAATGGGAAAGCAACAGTTACGAATATCCTACAATGAATCAAAAAAAATCTGTGTCAATTTCAAACGATTCAATTGATTTTGTTTTGAAAACAAATTGTATTTTACTTTACACAAAACACTTATATTTATTACGGCATAACTAACGTATATACATATATTTGTTTTTCCTGTTTAAAACATAACAAAGAAACATTTAATACGAATATGTTAAACATTTAATGATTTACTTTAATGTAACAAAAAACAAAGAAAAACAAATATGATGACTGTTATAAAAAAATGTTATTTAAGAAGTAAATAAAACCCAAACTGTTATACATTTGATAAGCAGCCCTAACGAAAGAGTATCGATAAATTTGTCCGTATAATTAGAAGAATATTTGCTAATCAGTTCTATGTCTATTCGCAAACACGTTTTTGTTGTACAATTCTTGCATGGAGAGGCCATATTGATGTGTGGCCTGTTATCTTTATTAGTTGACTACTAAATATCGCCAGGTGTGAATAGGTATTAGGAAGATTAAATTTAATGTCATTAAAAATTTGTTTACACAAAAATCTTTATCCAGCATATGTCTGAGAATCGCCAATCACAAAAATAAAAAAGTATTTGTAGTGATTTATTAATTGTCACGGGTAATTCGAGTAAACATTTTGTATTTAAACTTACTACAAGGGGGTTTCACAGTATAATATATTATTGGCAATATATGTTGTCTCTCACACAGGAAATTTCATGATATAAATTTTAGCTTCTCCTCCGCCTAAAAACGAATAATTTTATGAAAGATGTATACTATTTCTTTTATGGATCTATAATGGTAGAAGAATACAGATAGATGCATCAACGCTTTGGAACATTGATATGTCAAAAATTTAAAAATATTATTTCAAAAATAAGTAGATTTGTAAATGTTTTCCTTTACGACGTCAATTGGAGGTTGTTATGACATGCATTTTTCGACAATTTTTACAAATTTCAATAATTTTTCATTCAAAATTTTCAATTTCAAGGTCGGTTTGACAGTTCATTTTCCCAGCAGCTGTTTTCAATAATTTTCCATTCATAATTTTCAATTTCAAGGTAGGTTTGAGAGTTCATTGTCCCAGCAGCTGTGTCGATGCGACTACCTGGATTCTTCTACCATGGTTTGTGTGGAGCCAAACTATCATCTAATTTATAGAGGATGAATGACAAACTTCACTGAGAAAATCCAATACCTTTGAGAATGTATCCAAAAAAACTTATACTCTGTTCCCGAGCCTTCAAGAATCTACTAGTCTTGCATTTTTTAGATATAATGAAGGAATAACATATTTAGGTTCTTGAAGTTTCTGGAAAGGAACTCAAAAAGGCATTAGCTATAAAGTCCCGATCTACCGATGATTCGATAAGAGATTTATGTTTTCGACATTTATAGCACGTTTGACGTGCTATTGCATATAAGTCAAATAAGTTTTAGTAGAGTAGATTAACCCTGCAAAAAGTTTTAATGTATACATACTATTAACATGATATAGGAAATCCTCAGAATCATGGTAGAAGAATACAGGTAGTCGATTCGACACAGCTGCTGGACAATGAACTGTCAAACCGATTTCGGCATTGAAAAATGTTGAATGAAATTTATAAAAATTGTTGAAAATTTCATATTATAACAACATCCGATTTGCGTAGTATAAAAAACATATAAAAAATGTACTTATTTTTTACAAAACATTTTAAAAATTTTGACATATCAATGTTCCCAAGCGTTGATGCATCTACCTGTCTTTTTCTGCCATGCTCAGAATGTCTTGGAAGTTCCTTTCAAACTCTCTTCATCCACCGCTGTTTGTCCCTATTAGATAGATACGCCTTTTGACATCAAATTTAATCTCTTAATAACGATATAAACCGTTGATAGAATCTTTTCCCTTTTTCTCCAAAATACTACTACTTTTAGAAATTAAAGTTTTGTCTTCTCTCTATGTACAACTGAAAACAATGCTTACATCTTCTATAGAAGCAAAAACCACATAAAAATGCGAAAGAAATTTTTAAGTAAAAAGAAGCTCAAAGACAATATCAACAGGTGTTACCAAAAATAAAAAAATTACAAATAAATTTAAAATTAAAAAGGATATAAAAACCAAATAGGAAAAGATTACCAGAAGAAATAAACAGTAGAATTTCTAAGATAATCCTGAAATGTTAAAACTCAGTCTGAATTAAAACCGATGAATAAAAGGTAAAACAACAACATAAGCAGAAACACGACGTTTTTTGGAAACAACTCATTTTTTCTTACACGAAACCAAAAACAAACTTAAAAAAATAATTTATATAAATATTATGTAAATATACATAAAATTTACATTCATTAAATACAAAAAATAACGATTTATTTTTTTGGTTAAAGGAAAAGGTTTATGGCTATGCTAAGAGGAAAAAAACAGCTGATTGATTGGTTGCTTGACAAAAATATGTTTTCTTTTAAATTTATACATAAATATATAAAATGAAACCATGGAATTACATCTAAAACCCCTAATATTTTTCTTAAGAAAGATGCAAACATGGCCAATAACAGCTGTGCTGGAAACAACAAACTGCTGCTGTTATTTTCTTGATAATTCAAATTCCTTTTTCTTTTTTCAATAAATTCAACAAAACCCCCAACACAAAAGACACAACATTGTTAACAGGTATAATAATTTAATTAATTTCTTTATAAAGGAAACAAAAATTGAAGATAAAAACAAATTAAAGCGAAAACATTTTGTTTAACAAAATATTAATACAAAAAAGAATTAACAAAATTTGAAAATATTATTATTATTATTAAATATATAAATATTGTATCTTTGTGCAGTATGAGCAAACACACTATATACATATATACTATATATAAAACAAAAACTGAACAAAATACAGAAAATATTGACAAAAATATATATACCAATAAATAATAAGCGTGAAATAATATATAATGGTGGAACTATAACTTATACAAGTCAACAAACCAAAAAAGAAAAACCAAACAGCATATATAAATATTTATGTATATACACATACAAACAAATAAAGAAAATCCATATAAAATAACTAACCTTAAAATAAAGCTGTGTTTTTTTTTTACATGAAAAAACAGTTAAGTACGGAAAAGTCAAGATTAGTATTGCAATTTTGTAAGAGATAACTGGCTATTAATGCAGAAAAAATGTCCAGTTAAATGTCTTCGTTTGATTTGCTGTTGTTTCAGCAGCGGTTTTATGATAAACAGCTTGGACTTATGGTTTCTCTGCTACATTTTACTAAAAGAGATCCTTTTATTTTTTTCCTCTATTTCTCTACTCAATATGGGTCATATTCATGTGTGGCCAGATACCTTTATTTGTTATGCAAAAATAGACAGACATTGCGATGAGATTTCTCTCTAAGAGAGAAAGATGTGAGAGAGTAGAGAGCAACTCCCGTGGACCACATCCTTACTTAAACTTTGCAGTGGATGCTAGAAAGAAGAGAAGGAGTATACTTGGATCAAGTGGTCGGCATTGACGCCTTTGGTGATCTCCGCGGAGGCCCATACTTCCCGAAATATAGGATTCCAAAGTTAAGTAATGATTAATTTTTTATTTTAGGCATAAGTTGAGTTTAGGGGCTATGCTTGGATTGACCTGAAATTTTTACCGCAGGTAGGTATTTGTAACCTGATTACGGCAATATAATTTTTTTGTGGGGGAAATACCCGGTTACCCGGTTATTCGACCCAAAAGTTCGGATACAACATCCGGTTTATATCCGGTTCTACGTAACCGATATCAATAATATGGGTATCATTTGAAAGCTTTGAAAATACCTATCCAACAAGTGGTCATATGACGGGGTAACTGGAACCTGTTTCGGAGAAATTTAGGAAAATGTGCATTTTTGTATGAGTAATTTTTGAAAAACCCATAAAAACTCGAAAATGGACCCATTATAGGGTCTTAAAATCTATACACTATATTATAGCTAACACTATTGCATTTCCAAAATGGCGTCATATGTGTTGATATCTTTTGTAGTTCCGAAGATATTGACTTTTAAAGTCGTTACTTATGAAAGCAGTTTGAGTGAACCCAAGTTTTGTGTCGGGTTTAACGTTCTTGTTAATCTGCTTTGTTTTTAATTTGGTGTTGTTAGAATATTATGGATCGCGTAGTCGGTGTTGGACATATCCCAGAGGAGAAAATCTTAAGCCCCGGCCGAAGGCCGGCTACTTACAAAAATTACAATTTTTAGAAAAACTATGGATCGCGTAGCCGGTGTTGGACATACCCCAGAGGAGAAAATCTTAAGCCCCGGCCGAAGGCCGGCTACTTTCGAAAACTACAGTTTTTAGGAAACTATTGATCGCGTAGCCGGTGTTGGACATACCCCAGAGGAGAAAATCTTAAGCCCCGGCCGAAGGCCGGCTACTTACAAAAATTACAATTTTTAGAAAAACTATGGATCGCGTAGCTGGTGTTGGACATACCCTAGAGGAGAAAATCTTAATCCCCGGCCGAAGGCCGGCTACTTACAAAAATTACAATTTTTAGAAAAACTATGGATCGCGTAGCCGGTGTTGGACATACCCTAGAGGAGAAAATCTTAAGCCCCGGCCGAAGGCCGGCTACTTACAAAATGTACAATTTTTAGAAAAACTATGGATCGCGTAGCCGGTGATGGACATACCCCAGAGGAGAAAATCTTAAGCCCCGGCCGAAGGCCGGTTGCTTAAAAAAGCTATAAAGGTCAAAGTCAAATGCATCTAGACTGGAGAAAAATATAATTTAATGAATTCTATCTCTTATATCCACGGAACCACAAAAGATATCAACACATATGACACCATTTTGGAAAGGCAATAGTGTTAGCTATAATATAGTGTATAGATTTTAAAACCCTATAATGGGTCCATTTTCGAGTTTTTATAGGTTTTTCAAAAAGTAGTCATACAAAAATTCAAATTTTCCTAAATTTCTCCCAAACCGGTTCCAGCAACCCCGTCATATGACCACTTGTTGGATAGGTATTTTCATAAGCTTTCAAATGATACCCATTTTATTGATATCGGTTACGTAGAACCGGATACAAACCGGATGTTGTATTCGAACTTTTGGGTCGAATAACCGGGTAACCGGGTATTTCCCCCACAAAAAAATTACATTGCCGTAATCAGGTTACAAATACCTACCTGCGGTAAAAATTTCAAAATGATCCGAGCATAGCCCCTAAATTCAACTTGCTCCTTATTTTATTTAGTTTACTAAACTAACTCTCGGGTTTTTATATTACTTTTCCAGAGATAGGTATGCACCCTGATCCCGAGAAAGTATTCCATTTAGGAAACTTTGGTTCGCGTAGTCAGTTGGAAATGAGAGAACCATATCTCTGGATCCAAGAAAGATAATAACACATATTGTGGCATTTTGGGAAGATTATGTACTTCGTAGACTCACAAAATGGGACCTTTTTATACCCTCCACCATAGTATGGAGGGTATATTAAGTTTGTCATTCCATTTGTAACACCTCGAAATATACACTTTAGACCCCACAAAGTATATATATTCTTGATCAGCACAAAATTTCGATTTAGCGATGTCCGTCCATCTGTGGAAATCACTCTAGCTTCCGAACGAAATGAAGTAGATTGACGAACGAAATGAAGTAGACAGAAAATTGTCTGTCCAGGTCGACGTCTTCGTATAGCCCCCATATAATGGTACCTCCAGATAATCGATATTTTGATGATTTTAGCTAAATTATTCACCGATTTTTTTTAAGTTTCGCATTTGAATATTGTAATGGCTTATAACAAAAATTGCCTATGCAGGTCCAAAACGTCGTATAGACACTTATATAACAGCCACATTCGGTAATTTTAAGATTTTAACAGAGTTTTTAACGGATTTTATTGTTTTTGAGAATTGCCAAATTCGTTCCAAATGGTGGGGGGTAATCAGTTTTTTTACTACTTAACTTTTGGGGGAGTTTTTACAAAATTCGGGTACAAAAAATTAAATAGTTCTGATCCGTTTTAAATAACCCCTCCACTTGTCCACTTGTGGGATAGTAATTATTATAAGCTTTCAAATGATACCTACATTGTCCTTGTCTGTTTAGTAGGTCCGGGTCCAACTTGGGTCGTGGATCTGAACTTTTGGGTCAAATATCCGGGTATACGAGAGTTTTTACTGAACTAGAATTATTTCAAAATTTCTGTGTTGTAATCAGGATACAAAAGCCTACCATGAATGACATTTTGAAGCTTTTATTTTGATTGTCGCCTTAAAAATCGCAAAGTGAAAAGGGGTATTTTTGCAACTTTGGAACCCTATATCTCGGGATGTATTGATTTATGTCGCTTTAGGATAACAAGACCCACCTACGGTAAAAATTTCCACCAGTTGTAGTGGAATTCTTTTTTGGGCCTGCTGACAAAAATCGATAAAATTAAAATGCAAAATTATAAATGAAAAGGAATTAGCGACTTATTTATTTTTGTCGCAAACCTGCCGGAAATATTCGTTAAGTTCCGAAATTATAAGCGAAATTATAACTCAAAAAATTAGTTAGAGAATTCCACTAATGGTGATGAACTAAATTTAAGCCAAGAAAAATATCAAACCCAAGGAAAAATGAGTTCAATGCTGTATGTTGAAGAAAAGTTAGAAAGGAATCTGAAGTCAAATGAACTCCGAAATGGTTAATATCCGCACAAAGAATAATTCCTTCACATAGAAACCCAGAAGTTTTTAATAAAAAAAAAATTCTTAAAGCACAAGGGATTTCATAGGCCAGTTAATCTCTTACAATGCAGCTAGTTTTCTCAGTAGAAGAATAGTTTTTATACCCTTTATAAGGCCCAAATAAAATCTTATATTTGCTTGTTTCCGTTGTATTTGCTTCCTTATATTTGCTTGTTTCCGTCTTTAAAATGTTATCCATTATGGTCAAGAATGTGTCCAATAACATTTCTTTCATAAAGAACGTCACAAGCCTAACCTTTCCTGTGGCTCCACATTGAATGTCTTCAATAAAAAAAGAACCTGCCGTCAACTTTCATGTCATCCATGTCCATCCGTAAAAGATCAACAAAGTCATATCATGTTCCACAAAAAAAGTTCATTTTTATTACATACAACTCAGCGTTTTAATAACTTAAATAAAGGACAAACGAAATTCAATACAACAAAAACAAGCGAATAATAAATCATTTTGCTATTTATTTACATCCTGAGACTGAGTTGAAGTCTGTGGCACACCATGATCGAAATCATCATAGTCGTTGATAACATCTTGCGAGTGAATACCATTTATATCTGTTATTGATTGTGATTCTGGAAGCTCCGAGGTCAAGGTCAATGAATCTGTATTAACGTGGAACATTTGAACAACATTTCTGTTTGGAATACCCCTTTTGCGCAACTCTTCCGAGTTAATGATAACTGATTCTTTTTCCATATAAATTTCCTGTTCTGTATTTGCTTCGGGCACTACTTCATCGTCCAGCGATTCTGAAATGACAAATTGTACACCGGCTGCAGTGGACTCTTCAGTCTCTGATGTTGAGGTTTCCCCTTCTTCTTCTGCCTGGGTCAATAGAACTAATGGTGGCGGTACATGGTGGTCCACAGATTCTTGTGGCATTTGTGTTGGCTGAATATCTGGCAGAATTTCCTCCATTAACTCTTCAATTTCTTCACCTTGCGATTCTGTTATCTGCCAAGATTGTTCTCGTTGTGGGTTTGGTAGAATTACCTCAATTATCTCTTCACTTTGTGGTTCCGGTACATCCAGCGAATGTGCATGCTCACTTTCTTGATCTTCCAATTCTTTTTGTCTTTCGTGGGCCCAAAGATTCAATGACAATAAATTATTCTTCTTTTGAATAATCCATTCCTTTCGCCTTTCTTTACGTATTTCTTCCTCATTGAATTTCCATTTGATGTGATAGTAACGATTTACAGCTTTGGCTAGGAGTTGCCTCTGTTCTAGAGGAGTTTTGCCAGCAAACCGATTCCTTTGCTTAAAATATCTGTTGTAATCTTCAACTGGATTCCATCGAAAGGCATCTACGCGACACTTAACCCGTCGACACAATTCTTTTTGTTCGTCCTCGGTTAGTACTCGTTTAATGTCTTCTTGAGTTGGTTCCTGTTGAAATAGAAAAATACTTTAATCAATATTGTCATATCTATTTAAATAACATTAATTATTGTTTTATTTATATTTCCAGCATCTATTCCTCTCATAGAACACCCTTATAGAAGATGAAAAGTCGTATTTTATAATAAGAGATAATATGGAGCCAAATGATTTTCAAATAGAATTGTAGAAGTAACATCCTTTAGAGTTGTCCTATTCATCCCATTTCATGTATGCAGTTGCTTTGATTCAATTTGCTATTGGCGGGAAACATATCAGACGTTCATAGTTTACCAATTTCTCGAGCATCCTTTTCATAACGCTTCGCGTTGGTTCCTCAAACTGTTCCAAATTAACATTATAAATCGGTGTATCCATTGTATTTTATTTATTTATTTTATTTTATTAACATGACAGCGCAACAATGAAGTAAAGCGCGCGAAACAAATATGAAGGACACAAAGGAATACCAGAAAGCAAAGACTCGGGGTACTCTGTTGTTTACGAATGAGTGTAATGCATAACGCCCGGGTATTTGTTGTTTACGAATGAGACATGAGAAAATTGAACATCTTCACTAAGGAGCGCGGAACTAGTTGCTACTATCCATGGTAGAAGAACATAGGTATACGCGTCGACGCAGCTGCTGGGACAATGAACTGTCAAACCAATTTTGGAATTAAAAATGTTGAATGAAAAATTACTTAAATTTGTAAAAATTGTTGAAAACTGCGAATTATAATAGCCTCCGAATGACGTAGCATAAAAAAAACATATAAAAATCTACTTATATTTGAAAAAAAAAACATTTACATTTTTTTGACATATCAATGCTCCCAAACGTTGATGCATTTACCTGTATTCTTCTGCCATGCTACTATAGTTTGCCGAACTCGACCACGGACTTGGGTGAAACCCGAGTACTCGACTATTCATAGTCGATTTCAAATTCCTGTTCAACTAATTAGTCCCGATTTAAGCCTCATTTATACCTAACATGTTTTAATAATTTATTTATTTAATTAGGTGTCGGAGTAAATTATATTTTACACTAGGCAGTAATTACTTTGTTAGTGAGATGGGTTGTTGATAAATAAAGGGCCCATGGCACAATAGCAAAGGCTCTGTTCGACGAAATGTCAAAATTTGTTTACATTCTTTTACACAGTTGATTTTTGTACTGTGATTCCAATCACAATAAGGGTTTGGCAACAAATCTAGGTAAATCTTTTGCCTTTTTATTTTGCTATAACTTAACCTCTGGGAGGTTATTTGTGCGTTCAAATTTCATCGAGCAAAAGTGGAAATTCTGTCAAACAGCGAAATTGAAAATTGTTCAATTCAATTCGATGTGGTACCTCTTTTATGATTCCCTAACAGATTTCTTTGTTGCAAATAAAGACAGAGAAGATAAAAACAACTGGAACGGATCTTATAATTACGCAATTTCCAGGTTATCCAGGATGTTGAGGAGTGATAATTGCGCCAATTATAATTGCCTAGTGTAATGAAAATTTAAAATAAAAATTCCTCGACCAGAAAAATTCTGACTGGAATTCGAATTCCTAGAATTGAGGGATGTAAATGGATACCTTATAGAAGAAATCGAAGAAAAGAACACGATTATTGTTAATTGTTAATTTCATGTTTTTATTGTTACAGGAAATTTATTGTTATCCTGTTTTCTGTTAGGTTGTTTCCCTTAATATTGTTAATATCAGACCAAGCTCTGTACAACACCGTAAATGTCGTGAGCAAACATTGTTTTATACTGTCACTATATTACATTAAATGTATTTTATAAGAATTATTAATTCGCATCTAATTGAAGATGTCAACACTGTTAGAGTTTATTAGTTCAATACGTTTACAGAACTAAAATCAACATATGTTATTGTTTGTTACTAAATATAAAATTGTAATATCTGATAAAAAGAAGTCTCAAATAAAGAAAATTGAATTGAAATCGATAATGTTATATTACTCATGGTACAATAAGGAGGTAAAACAGCTTCGTAAAACTACAGAAATACAAAATTTTATGAAATAAGTTGTTTTCCTTTTTTAATACTCTCCCTCATTTTTAAGGAGGCAAATAGTACGAAAAATAAATAAAATGCCCGGATTTTCTCTTCAAAACCTGATTCAAACTGTTCAATCTTTCAATTTCATGGCTAAACTGGTTAATAGCGTTAATGCGCGAGCCGCAATGTACATGTCTTCCAATCATTGGTTTTGAAAATATTTTTTTTTCATTTCTCAAAACAATAAATACCTACACAAAATTGGCAGAAGACGGTCACACTTAGAAAAGAATTGTAAACAGCTGATAGCGCTACCTTACCTTTTTATTGTACCATGGTATTACTTAATCACAAGTTATCATCTTACGTTGACTTGCAGAAAATCGGGTTATCACTTACGGCGACTACCGCTCGTCCAACAGGGTCGGGCGTCACTACACAATGCTATGAAGAAGCATTGTTTTGATTTTTGACAGCAACGAATTCACGAAAAAATAGTCGCATCAAAAACTTCAAACTTAACACTTCGATAGAATCATTTTCACACAAAAACAAAATAAAAAGAAAACAAAAAAAAAAAAGAAAAGAAAAATAAAATAAAATAAGAGAAAGAAAACAAAAGAGAAAATATGCATAAAGGTCAATAAAAGCTAAATCGAAAAAATGTTGTGAAATATGTTCTGGAAAATATTGTTGTTTAAAGAAAATTTAAAAGAAAAGTGTTCTCATGAGTCTAGCAAATTGATGTAAATGAAGTGTGTTCTAATTTAGTAGTGTTGGTGTGTAATTAAAATCAGCCGCAGCAGCAGCATATCAAATTGGCAGCAGCGCGTCAGGGCCGCTGGCAGAGCAGCAGGGCAATAGCGCAAAATACAGACAACCAACTATTGTTTGTCTTAAAAAAAAAAAGACTAAATTACTATAGAGTGGGGTGAGTTTGACCGACCAAATATCCTAAATAAGCAAATGTTTTGTGTGTGGAAAATTTATTTTTAAACTTAAGAAATACCAACACTTTAACATTGAACTAGTCAATGAATGAATAAAATAGTGGCCAACCAGTAGTCAATAATTTAGTGGCTTCCATTTGTTTTTTTGTTTGGTTCTTGGTGCTTTGCAATAAAACATTGAATTGGAAAAAGAAAAAAAATTAAAGAGCTATATTTTTTGCCTGTTGTTTATGGCTTGTGTGTGTGTTATTTTTTGTGCCTCCTCTTTACGTTGGATCATTACGAAACATAATTTTGAAGGAAATATGGAGGAAAATGCAAAGTCTGTACGATGAAGAACACGAACATACGCCGCCACCGCCGCTGGTGAAGAAGCAATGATTCATTGCGCTAAGATAATAAATTTAATTGAATTTATAGCATTTCCTCGAGAAGTAGCTACATCCTATCTATATACTTTGGTTGTTTTTAATTAATATTTATTGTTTTTCTTGTAGCAGGGCAAATTATTCCTATTGCAAAAAGGTCAAAGTTAACATTTGTAGATACCATACATGTGGAAGTGCTTTAGTGAAGAAATTAGTGCTTAAATGCTTGCGACATGGATAGGGAGCTATTGCCCAGGGCTCAATGTCCCATATCTTGTTATGACTAACGAAATTAATGAATAGCGTTTTTAGGCCAGGTTTGTAAATTAATATTCTATCGAATCTACTTTCTAATAGCCTCTTTTTTAATAGATCTTCTTAGGTTTGAGGTAAATATAGACTGTACATAACAAGAAAAACATAAAATTGTATTGCGGACTTTGGAGCAGGTTATAGCTTGTGCAAAATATTTATAACCTATTTCAGTTAGTTTTGTTGTGACGATTTATATCAGGCCCGAGCTCGATCATTCTAGGCATGGTCAATTGCAAAGATAATTAATATTGCATAGAATATGAGGAGCTTCCTCTAGTAGTTTGGTTTAAGAATGCATGATCACCAAGAATGGCAGCCACTTGACTCGGAGATCTCAGGTCCATAGTGTAAGAAGTGTATGCAAATACCTCTGCCAAATTTTGTTGAAAATGATTCAGATTTAAATATAGCTTCAATATCATCCATTCTACATTTGGGCCATCAAGCTCCGAATAGAATAAGTATGTAAAAGTAATACTGTGCTCCTATAGAAATGACGTTTGGTACAAAAGGCCTCATTCAATTTAGCGGAAATTGATTCTGATAAAAATACCCCTGTAAGTTTTTAATTTTCAATCAAATATTTTTCCATACTAAAATCAGGGTTTTGATAGGAGGAAGTACGAAAACTTCTCTCTTTCAGAGAGCCTTCCAGAAGACATAATCAAGAAATAGACATCCTCCTAGCCGGACTGCGTGTGTTGTTCTTTCACACAAATCAGGGTTTGGCATTAACTAAAACTCATTAAGCTTGTCGATAAAAAGCAGAGAGATGTCAAGATAAAGCCTCCAAAGTCAAGGAAGTGGACGAAAGAAAACATGAAAAGAGCTAAAGAGTAGCTTCGCTTGTCCGAAAGTGGTGAACTGCCGAGTTTGGTTTTCTTCGATGAGAAAACATTTGTTGTCCAGCAGTTTGTAAACAAACAAAATTATCTGTTTACTTGCCAAAGAGGTCAGCTGAAAATGTCCACCTTCGGTTGGCCACCAGAAAAAAAGAACTCAAGCGCCGGTCAAGGTGAGGGTTGAGAGCCGCCATAACAGCCGATGATCGCTCTCCGCTCGTATTAATCGACAGTGGCATCAGAATAAATGCCAAATATATGGGCACGCAAACATTTTGGTCGCAGACCAACAGGACTCAGCACCATCGCACTCAGCACGTGCCACCCAAGAATGCTTACAAAATGAGGTTCCTCGCTTGATTTCCAGCGCACAATGGCCACCAAAATCTCCGGATACCAATCCGTTGGACTATTGTGCCTGGAGTGTTTTGGAAAGCAAGGTTGACACTAAAAAATACCTCAAGCAAGCGCTTCGCCGAAAATGGGCCAAAATACCGTAGAGAAACATTCGGGCAGCGTGTGACGGTTTCATTGGCCGAAGCTCACAATTCGTGCCAAAAGTGACCAATTCGATCCAATCCAAACTTATTCTAAAATTTCCGACATTTTTTGCTTTTACGGCGTTTGACTTTGTTGCGGTTTATTTATCTCACCTTATATATGATCTTGAATGATTAGATGGCTTTAATAAGAGTCACCCGTCTATGCAAATGTTTTTGCAATCGAAGGTTACAGCTTAACTGATTATGCTCATTATTATTTGATGCAGCCAAAACGTGACTCAAAAAAATTAACGTTTAGAGGCCGTCTTTAGACGAAATCTGTTCCTTCATTTGTTTGTCTAGCAGGCTGATGCGCACATTACCTCGCATTTCGTCAAAAATTAATACATCTTAATATTACTATCAAACTTAGATCGAGGTTATAACTTCTCCACAAAAGGTCAAAATTTTCAAGGGAAATAATTAAACTCATAGAATGAAAGAAAATCATCCGATTCTTAATAGGGCACTACCCCAACAGCATTTCCGACCCGCCTAGTAGGTGAACTAACTATTCGTGCGGAATGCAGGTGACGTCCGATGCGGAAGATGTACCAAGATCGAAGTAGTTGGGTCGTTTTGTTGGGTAGTTGGATCGTTTTAGGAAATATTTGTATTCGATAGCAGGTGGCTCCTACCTTGAACTCAAAGATGGCGACGGCTTCGGAAAGCCCTTTCCTACAACAAAAATAATATATAAAAGTCGGAAATTTATTTGAATTCATTTCTCTCATTGAATATTTCATTTGGATGGGAAACATCTGTAAATTATTGTCCTATATTCAAGGGTGAAGGCTCCTTCATGGTTCATCACAAGCATCTTAATACTTGCCACTGTTTCGTATCCAATCAATGAATATTTTGCTAATTAGGAATCAATTCAAAGGAATCTATGGAGAATACAAGTTTACTTTTGTATTTGACTATTTGATTAAAAATCAGGCAAAAGCATCCATTCAAAAGAAAACAGAAATAACAATTCCAGTGTTGTTGTAGTGTTCTTTCAATAACAATAGTAGTATCCTGAAAATTGTTTATTATTGTGGCAGTCAACAAGACTCTTTTGGGAATTTCAATTCTTCTTATTGTCTGTTTATCATCCTTCTTCATGAATACTGTCTTCTGGCTTTGCATTCGATGAAATACAACGCAATTGAATTGTTGATTTTTTGAGATTCGCCTTCATTTGCTGTTTCGTATTCTTCTTACTTCTTGCCGTATTCGTTGTCTTGTCTTTTCTTGCGCTTTGTGGGCACGAAGTGGTGGATGTGAATGGAAATGAGCAGGAGTATGGCTGCTAGCAGCTGTTAGACCCACTTTTGTTTTGTTGTTGTTATTGGTAAGGTCATGTCATGCATGTGTTGTTATTGTATGTTATTTTTTTCTTTGTTGCTGTTCCTGTTTGTTGTCATTGTTTTTTTCTTCATTCAAGCTTCCACCGTTTTGCTTCCAACAATGGCAACAACAAACATAACAACAATGGCATATTTTACACTTGTCGGAATGACGATTCTTTGTATCCATGAATATTGGCGAGAAATGGATAACAATGAAAATTGCGATTAGTTGGCGGCTGGTTTAGTGGATTTGTGTTAATTTTATTCTGATTTCATTCTAATTATGCGAGAGGATCTTGGATTTTTCTTATGCGAAGATTTCATTGGCATATCGTGAAATTTTTAATATCATTTTTTAGGTTAGGTATAGGGTCTGATGGAAAAATGTAATAAATTTTGAGATCAACAAGTAAAATAGCATCAGTCGCCTATTCGTATCTGACCTAAGACTGATATAAATACTACAACGTGCCAGATTTGGACTATATCGACTACTTCCTGTACTTTATATGAAATATGTGTAATTTTTTTTGAAAATTTAGAAATATGCGGATCGAAGTATTCCGAATAATATAGCGGTATAACTATTGCAAATTGTGGCCCTTTGTGTGTGAGGTACGAGAAGGGGTCGGCAGATGTAATACATCTTCACAACAGATCTTGCGTTACCAAAAATATTTGGATGTGTGAAATTTGAAGATAATTGTATGATTATTTCTCTTACTTTAAGCGTTTTGTTTTTCAAAATCTTGAACCCTATGTGGGGGAGGTACCAGAAGAAATGGTGCGATCTCTACAACCTCTATTACATATCATGTGTTGAAGGAAATATTGAGATGTACCAAGTCTAAATGGAATCGGACGTTATTATCGCGTTTTATGAGCTTCATGGATGCTCAAAATTTTGGAGGTACCAGTAGGAGTGGACCGATGTATTCACTATATTCACTCCAGACCTTGGGTTAATAAAAATATTGTGATGTGTGTAATTTGTAGAGAACCGGATATTATGATAGTTTTCGTTATTAAAAATTTTGACCCTTAGTGGGGGAGGTACCAGAAGGAATGGACCAATCTCTTCCTTCTTTATAACAGATCTTGTGTTGATGGAAATATTGAGATGTACCAAGTCTAAATGGAATCGGACGTTATTTTGGCGTTTTATGAGCTTCATGGATACTCAAAATGTTGACCCTTGTGGGGGAGGTACCAGAAGGAGTGGACCGATGTATCCCATATTCACACCAGACCTTGGGTTAATTAAAATATTGTGATGTGTGTAATTTGAAGACAATCGGACTATAACATAACATTTTATAAAAGTCATAATAATTCCAAATGTTAACCTTTGATGGGGGAGGTACTTGATGGAGTGGAACATTATTGTCCATTCTCGCACATGACTTGGCACTAATGCAAATATTAGGATATACAAAGTTTGAATAAAATCTGATTATCCTTTCTCTTTCTGTGCACCGAATTATTTTCTGTGAAAATATTGACATTTTGTGGGAAAGGTACCAGAAGAAGTCGACCAATATTTCCCATCTCCGAATTCGATCTAAGTTTGACAGTAA